AGATCCTACAATTTCCGGGCTCGGGTTTTCCCTCTACCTTCACCACCATGCTGCCCCTGTTCAAAGCCCTCGTTAGCTGTACGTGGCACGAGAGTTGCCTCTAAGTTCTAATTTGAAGAGCACAGGAAACTTTGATTTCTTCTGCAATCTCCGCAGCTCTTTCTCTGAGAAATGGGAAGATCATAACAAATGGGAGTGTGATAATATCATCTAAGCAGAGAATTAAACCATAATGAACTATTTATACCTTTGAATTAATTAGCTTATGAGCCAGAGTTTAAATGGGCCAAATGGGGTAGGAATCTTGGAAGGCCTCATCAAAGCAACCTGGACCGCTGTCAAGGGCCCTTCCTGAAACTCAGGGTCCTCATTAGGAGAGCTTTCAAAAGCACCTACATCAGACAGCTAAAGGGGTAAGGGCTTAGAGAAAACAACTCGGCACGCATTCCCCTAATAGTTTACGCTTGACCTTAACTCAATTTTAATACCAGGAAATTGCATTTGACGACGTTTATGAAAAAAGTCCTACAGAAATGTCCCAGTAAGGCCCAGCAGCAAGCCCCTAATGTAACAAGGTGTCTGCTCTCTACCCTTAAGGGGTCTACACCACAAGTCACCTGGCAACATCAAAGTCCATTATCTTCAAGCAGAAGGTGAGGCCTTAGCTGCCAAGTTTCATCCTTCAGTTACTCTTCTCTCAATGGTAACTTTTCAGGCAAGTTAAGTCTTGGTTCACCAGAGTAACTTCTGTTCATCCCAAGCCCTCCTCATACATGGACACAGCTGGTATTTCCGTCACACCAGAGAGAGAAAACGAATAGCCAAGTTCTTTATCATCATTAACAGTCCTAGCCACCCCCCACGCTCCCCCAAATAGGAAAAGGAATTGCAAGACTGATCATAATTGGATTAAGACCCATAATTCTTTAATTCATTCAGCAAATGGAGGCATTTGGAACAGTTTATTTACAGAGTTGTTTAGACAGTTTTGTGTGGTGTTTCTGAAGATAAACCAAAATGCCTTTCTGAAATAAGTTTCAGAGCCCAAATCATTAACATATGAGACTCGAATGTAGACAATTTACAAACGGGTGTTTTTAAACATTGTTTGGAACAAAATTGGACTTTTATTTTATTAACTATCTACAAATCTAGGTTCAGGATATAGTTGATAGCCGCGTGAAACAGACAGGCACTTTCTTCACCTCTAAAATAAACGTACATTTCCTGAACAACAAATCCCTGTTGAAGGGTACATTTACTTCGGGCCTAGATGAATGGTTTCCAGAATGCTGTTAGGGTCCTAATTACATGCCGTCCCTGACCACTAAAGTTGACCCCGAGTCGGATGAATCACGCAGACCCTGCCAATCAGCCGCATCTCGTCAGGTCCAAGCCACACTTCACATTAGTATTCTCAGCTCTTTGAAAGCCATGTTTTCAGGAAATCACGAACCATGAGTTCTTCTCCTTCAGTTTCCCTCCTTGAATCTGCTCTGAATGTACCTTGAAGACCAGGACTGCTTATCACGCAGAGAAAAAAAAGAAGCGCTTCACAGACGGTACATTCTTGCACGCACTGTGTCTTATTTTTAAGTGTGCTTTGCAAGAAAACATTTTTGCAAGAGGTCAAGCTCCGTTCTTTGGGAAAGGAAAATTTGAAAATTTTAAACTTATAGCTCACTCCAGCAAGGACCAAAAGATGTTATACATGGCTAAGAACGTCGCCCTTTCATGTACCACGTACTCTGTATGCCCTAACAATCTCCGCAAAGAATGTCCATTTTCTCGCTCGCCTGCAGGACTGAGAATCAGTCTAAACAGGATGCGTGTCTACATGAGTCAACTAGTGTGTCCCAAAAACCTGCTGATTTACCAACTGAGGTTAGCAGATGCGAGTGCTGTATGTATGCAACACACATCCAGCCATGATTGGTTAAGCGCAACAACAAAACTAATTCCGTGTTTCTGTGTGAAGAACTAAGGCATCCCTCAGTATCAGAAGCTTATACTATGTCAGAGCAGATCGGCACTGCCCATCCAAACAGGCTACAGAGAGAAAAGAATTAAAGCCGAGAGGAAGCAGAAAGCTTCAGAAATGGGATGAGCAGACCACTGGAAAGACGAGGAGGAAGAAAAAAGAAATTCTGCCTAGGATGCTACCATGTAATTAACACAAACAACTAAATAATTATGCGTATCCCTTCCCACCCCCACAATTAAATGTTTTTAAACAACTTGCCTGATGAAAGATCTACCTTTTAGGCAAACAAAAGCCATCCCCAGCAGTTTGAGGATTTGAGACTGGATTGCATCAGTTTCTGAGTGATGCTGGTGATTTTTATCTCCTAGAGTTCTGAGGATAAACACTGGATGGCATAATCTCCAAGAGAATTTTGCACGGTGCCCAGGAGAACTTTCGATGTAAGTGCTTAATGTTTTAAATCACTCTGCCTGAATTTATCTAGGCTCTGGCCTCGGAGCTATATTTAAATCAGGAAGAAGCACCCCCTGGAAACCGTGCTCCCTCTATCTGCTTCTGAAAACAGATTCCTCCCGTATCTGCACAAACAACCATCCTCAGACAGCCGGATTCCTTTAAAATGAGACAGATCAAAATTTAGTGGTTCTGTACAGACTATGAAATCGTCCTCCTTTTAAAAGCTATAAAAGTCAAACTTTGGGCAGGGGAGAACATTTCCGTGTACTTTTAAAAAAAAAATCTGGCCCTTAACCTAATCATTCCTGGCAATCAAGTCCCCAGATTCTGGTTTTTCTGATTGAAAACTTCAACAGATCTCCCACCAGCAGTTTCAATGGGGTAGTGTGTGTGAGTGTGTGTGTGTGTGTGTGTGTGTGTATGTGTGTCTGTGTGTGTGTCTCTGTGTGTGTGATACTAGGAGCCATAATTTATGAACACCAAGAAAACAAACCACTGTTGTCTAGCCTGTTTGCAGATTCCCACATTTATTACCCAAAATCCCACAGATTTCCCTCTGCCTTGCCCTTGACAGAAACTGTGCTGAGCAGAAAAGGTTCTCTGGGGAAATCTCTCCTCATGCCTTTCTTAACAAACCCCTTGCATATCTGGATACTCGGAACATCTCAACTGGGTTACAACAAATTTCAAAACTTTCCTGAGGCAGCAAAGCCAATAGCCACTCAGAGTATCCCGGGTGGGCTCTGCAGTCGCACACACACACTTCCTCATTTTGACCTGCTTTAGTTGATGGGGGAAGACTGGAAATGAATTCACGTTCCTCACTCTCAACTTAGGCACTGAGACCAGCGCCTTCTGAGAGTCAACGCGGGCCAATCTCCTTATTAATATATTCACTGTGCAAGATGACTATTAAAATATGTGAACCGTGTCCCACGGATCTGAGGCCGGCAGATCCCTAACTCCAAACACTGCTTCAACTTGCTTCCTACCCGCATAAGCCCGCTCCTTACTTCTTACTCCCCTTGGCTGTGAAGCGCCAGCTGAGTGTGACACAGCACGTGAGGGGGCTATACTCTGCACCAAGTGAGGAAGGGGGTTTCAAAGAGAGGGGGAGAGGGAGAAGTTGCAATAAAACGAAAGCTTCCGGTCTCTGAAATCCAGAAGGATGAGACGTATTTCTGAGCCTCTGGGAAGGAATGAAGAGGAGAAGAGGGAGAGAGATTGTAGAAAGCGAAACAAAAAGACAAGGTGACGGGGTGGGCTGAGAGTGGTCTTTCTCTTCTAGACAGGCGCAGGGGCTTTGTCCAAGTTCGAGGGTCTGTCCCTAGGAGACGCACAAGCTTAGCCCAGGGCTGATTCCCCCCTGCGCTGCTTGCCTCCTGCACCTCGCATCACCGCCACCACTTACAAAACAATACAGGCAACAGGACACGGGTTTTCCAACAGCAGCCCAGATAAAGTTGGCTCGGTCCCGCGGATCACAGCCCCCTCCTTCCCGGAGGGGGGTGGCAGCGCCCCCCGCAGCCTCCCCCGCAGCCGGGCCCAGCCCCCTCCCGGGACTTGAGCAAACTCCCGCGCCCCCTCCCTGGTGCTGCGCGGCTTCTCCAGCTGGAGCAGGGCGCCTTGGAGGGCTGCCCGCCACCGGCACCTCCACAGCGGGACGCGCCACAAAGTTAAAACGCTGCGGTTCACGCACCTTACCGGCTCTGGTTAATCGCTCCTCTGACGCGGGATGCGCAGCGGCGGGCGGGGGCCCCCGGAGGACTCTGGAGACGGGATGGGGCGATTTGCCTTTTGCACTGTGTGTGTGTCTGTGTCGGGTGTGTTTGTGTGGGGTGTGCGCGCGCGTGTGTGTGTGTGCGCGCCTGTCCCTCTCTCTTTCTCTCTCTCTTCCACCCCCCCACCCCAACCTCTGGCTCCCTCTCTCGCTCTCTCTCGCTCTCTGTCTCTGTCTCTCTCTCTCAAGGACGAAGTGAAATCCCTAGGCTGGTCATGAGGCGGCTTCGGAGACAACACAATGCTGGTGCAAATAAATAACAAAAGGCGAAAAAGACAGTGGGAACAATGGGGGAGGCGAGGGCAGCGCTCCAGCCGCCAGTGACCGTGGCCGGCGCGCGCCCCGGGGTGCGGCGGGCGGGGGCGGCGCGGGGACCCGGATTGCTGCAGGTCGACCCCCCCGAACCTGGGGTCCACCCTGACCTCCTGCCCGCGGCCGCGCGCCCGCATCCGAAGCCCTGGAACCCCTCACGGTCCTCCTGCTCTGTTGCAGCCCAACTGGCTTGTAAATAACGCACCGATCACCCACACCGTGAAAGATTTTTTTTTCTTCCCTTTAATCTGCCCTCCACTTAAAGACGAAATGGCAGGAGTGGAAGGAGGCGGGTAGGAGAGGGGAGCTCGCTTCTATTCCTGCGCGATCGTGTCTGGTCAAGTCTTCTTTGTCAACTTCTTCCTCGCCCTGCGCCCACCCACCCATCCCCTTCCCTCTTGCGCCCACCCCCGTGTGCAAACAGGCTTTCACCGGATGGCACGGGGACGCGCGTTGGGGGTCTGCGGGTGTCGGTGGAACCTTCTAGGTGGTCAGCAGACCACCGTTCGTGTTTTGAAGCCACTACTGCCTTTCAGGAGTCTGGCTTTGCACCCGGGGCCGCTGCTGCCTTTTGCGGGTTTAAGCACCTACCCACTCCTTGGGGGTGAGGGGTAGAAGAAAAGTTTAGAAACCCACTGATCTCCACCTCTGGGGTGACTGAACTGGTTGATTCTGTGTGCATTCAGCCAAGGAAAAAAAAATATCACGAATGCCCAAGAGCCAGGGGTTGATATTGAGGGCAGCGAGATGAGGTTGGGCACTGGGTTCCGGAGCTGCGCCACTCGGGAGTGCGAGTTACATCACCACCACCAGCATAGAAACTCGGTGGGTGAACCGCCCCAGGCAGACGCTGCGGGCTGAAGGAAGCCTGTTCTCTGACAGCTCCCGAGCTGCTGCTGGCTTAGCATCGCTCTTCTCTGACTTAAAACAGCTGCCAGGGGGAGGGGGCTAGAGAGGGGATCCCCAAGAAATCTCTAATCAGGGTTGGGCAGAGATAAGGGCTCTTGCAGAGACCCAGAGGAGCATGCTATCAGGTAGCCAGGACCAAGGGACTGGAAGAAATTGATGGCAAAAGCCCCCGCCAAAAAAAAAAAAAATCTAGCAATATGTTTTTTGTTTGTTTTGTTTTCTTTCTGGCCCCTCCTTTCCTTTGCCTATCTTGGCTTGTGTGTGCCCCCTCCCCACATCTGTGATTCCCCTGAGAAGAACATCCCTGGCCTGCACCTCTTCTCCAGGCACCCCCAGCATTTCCCAGAGTGCACCAAAGCTGCCCAGAGATCAAGGAACCTGCTGTGTGTTCTTCATCCTCCTGCAGAAGCAGGGCCCTTGGAGCAGCTTGGGAAGCAGACTCAGAGCCTGCAGTCAAAGGCCCACTCCCTCTGGGTGACTTGTTCCCTGATGCCTGTCTACAGAGCAGATGTGAAGAAGCAATACAGGGTCTGGATGCCCAGGATAGCCACAAGCTTGGAAAAGTACGTCTCCTGCCCCTTCCACCCCTGGTAGGTGGATCGCTAATACCTGGGGGGGGGGGTTGCACTTGTCTAGGGCGGCAAGTTTCCAGCGAGGAGAGGTTCTGACAATTGATTACTTACTACCTGCTTTCTAAAAATGGCTAAACACCTTTCCCTGGGAAGAAAAGTGAGAAATGCAAATCTTAATAACTCGAGGCAGAAATTTCAAAGTGTAAACACAGCCATTATCCACTCCCACAAAGAAAAGCGCTCCCTTCGACAAATATTTGATAGCACGGAGCCCATTAATTAAGAGAACAATCCAATAAGCCCAGAGCTTCCGCGGGGGTGGGGGCTCTGAATGATCATCAGCGGCGAGGACTTTATACACCGGGTGATCATCCCGTGCTCAGTGTGTATCCTTAAACACCTTTACTATATTCCTGTAAGTATAGTTAACGAGAGAACTGAAATAACAATAATCTCATAACAAAACTATAAAACTCTTGGATTAATGTGGCCTCCATACACTGAAAAAAAAACAACAAATCTGTGTTTGAATAAAACACCTTCCACGTGTGTCCATTTTCTCCCCAGGCTCTGTCCCTCCGGCTCCTAGTCAGTCATTTGCAGGTGTGACCCACTCGTTCAGTGATAATTGCCTTCCACCTTCAGTCTAAGTGGAGCTTTTACTCTGAAGAGTTCTCTGGCTGGGGAGGTGGCTCAGCAGTGAGTGTGTTAAGAGGACCTGAGTTGGGGGTCCCAGCATCCAGGTGGGGCAGCTCCCACTCTGACTCCAGCCACGATAAGATACGGGCACCTCTGGGCACCTGCACTCACAGACACACAGACACATACATACAAGTCAGAAATAGCAGCTCTCGCCACACGAAGGATGGTCTGTTCTCCTGATGCTAAGATGTCTTTCAAAGTTTGCTATTAGAAGGTCAAGCCTGGTTTCTCCAGAAAATGAGCAAAGGGCAAATGTGGACCAGTTACAAAACACTGGCTCCTCACTGTACTGGTCAGAATATGTGTAACCCTTGTCAAGGATTGCCGTACGTACACTGATTTCCACAGGGATTCGAGCTTTCGAGAACCCACTATATGAGGAAAGGGGAGTGAAGTAGATTCTCTCCCCATGGTCGTCTGAAGGCGCCTGCTTGGCCTAAGCCAACCAACCAGAGCAGGGGCAGAGCCTCTCTTAGGAGCACTTACTTCTTGTTCTTCAGTGTTCCAGCTTCAGGGGCAAGCAGGTGTCCAACTGACGGGGGAATGGGATTGGTGGAGGAGGAAGACAGCAAGCTCCCTGGTTATTGAAACCACATGCTCTCCAGACTAAGCCATGGTTGATCAAAACCTTCCAGTGGGATATGTTTGTTTGTGTTAAGCCTGGAAAACAAAACCACACTGAAGTGAGGCTATCTCATTGAACATCAGTGTTTCCATTTATCAAGTGTGTACTACATCCCGGGTTCCTAGCCAAATGCTTTGCAAATGTGTTCCTTTCTATCCTTCCCACAACAGACTTGCAAGAAGTGCAGTGCGACATTCCTGCTCTGCCGAGCAGACGAGGGAAGCTTGGCAAGGCATGGTTGCTCACCCAAGGCCCTGCTGTGTGGCAGCCGCTGTACCACAGTGCACACCAGACCTGGCCAGCTCCAAGACGGGACATTGCACTTCCCCAAGACTCCTCCCAAATCATGCCAGGGCCAGTTCACAGTGCCAAATATTAGGTCATTATGTATGCACAACTTAAAATGACAAATTTATTGTTGGGTTTCTAGCTCATGAGTAGAGGACTTACCTAGCATGTGCCTAGCATGTGCCTAGCATATGCAGAACTCTGGCCTCAGTTCCTAACACTGCAACAACAGCGAACTAAAATACAAACATTACTACCTAATTCCAGACATGAGCCGTGTTCATGATCTTGCTCACCTAAATCTTCGGATAACTATGAAATTCCCAAGAAATTATATCTGTACCATATATACATCCAGGGTTTTAAACAATACATATCAAGTTATCTTATTTTGTAGATTAGACAATTATATATTATGTGTACACATACTTGCCCATGTAATTAGTATGTATATTTTAAAAGCTAAACCTTGATCACAGACTTGTGTGGTATTGCTCTTTACATGACATGAAAACTCAAGCCATCAGTCACCATAGTACGCGAGAGGCTGAGGCAGGAAGACCACAACTGTCCTAGGCTGCGTAACAAGCCCCAAGACATCATGTCTATATAGCAGGAGCCTGTCTCTTCAGAAAGAATAAAACACTAAAGTAAGGGAATCCCCAAGGTGAGGCTGTGAGCCACATCATTTTATTCTATCATTTCACAGACATGCAAACAAACGTGGAGAATTACGTAAGTTCTAGAAGGTTGTACAAAGAGGAAGAGAGCCTGGGTTCAAAGTAAGCAATGAGTGACTTTGTTATACTGTCTTTCAATGAGCATATAGTCATAGTCATATATATATGACAAATATTTATGCATACAATGGCAATATATACAGAATATAGGCATATATTTATGCATATATGTACCTATATATCTTCACGGGCAGACAAACTTTTACATAGCTAGAAATCATACCGATAGCTATAGGAAACACTTACGCATGAATGGAAAGTTTCGTATGCTTAAGATATTCACGACCGAATTCCTCTAGTATAGCTAGAGATATCGGTAAAGTGCTATTAAATATTATTTATTGATATGCAATATTAGTTACTGGCCTATGTGCATAAGGTCCAGTCCGTTGGTGGATTTATGTTAATACGTAAGAGAAAAGGTACTTGGGAATCTACCTGTGAAAAGCGGAAATACAGTCCCTATTCATTCTTTGCTACAAGAAAATATCAGACACAGGGCAGTTATAAAAGAGGTATACTTATCTCCCAGGTTGGAGCTGCAGAGCTCAAGATGAGTGGCTGTTTCTCCTCTCAGGAGAGACTCACACCATCAAAATCCCAGAGAGACCTAGCTGGGGAGACGACCTAGCAACTCAACCTGGTCCTTGACAGAGCCCTGACTGTGTTCACCAGGGCCTCACCCCATACTGGGCACCTCTCATTCTCTTTGTTGACCCAGGCAGTCACCCAAACTCTACACTGGGAAGTTCAGTCTCAGCGCAGCTTTGGGGGAGACAGACATCAGCCCACAGCCAAGCAGAGAAAGCCTTGAGAGGAAGGGAACCCTCAAAGTGAAGCCGAGCAGTGGATGCACCCCTTTCCAGAGATGGGTCGGCGCTTTCACTTCTTCAGTTAGGGCAGTGTTCCCATCTCCTCCTGGCAGCAGGAGAATAGTATCAAATGTTGATGCAAGTTCACTAATTACGGACTCAAAACCCTGACCCCCCTTCCAAGGAACCTTAAAACATTTGATAAGGATTTTCGATAGCAGAATGATGTGTTTACCTTATGGCTGTTCTCATCTCTCTCCCCATAATGGAGGGAGGGACATGGCAATTTTGGGCAGTGAACTCCAAAATCAACAGCTTTATAAAACTGTTTCGGGTTTCTGAATTCTCTCTGTCTCGCTTCTGTCTCTGTCTCTCTGTCTGTCTCTATCTCTCTGTCTCTGTCTCTCTGTCTCTGTCTCTCTATCTCTCTGTCTCTGTCTCTGTCTCTCTGTCTCTGTCTCTCTATCTCTCTGTCTCTCTCTCTGTCTCTCTCTCCAAATATGGTATCTGTTGTCATATCAGGAAGGAGTAACTACGGACAGCTTCCAGCCACGCTTCACAGGTTTCCAGCATATTTCACAATCTCCCAGCATGCCTGACAATTTCCCAGCATGCTTTATAACCTCCCAGCACACCTCATCTTGATGAGTATTAAGATCCTGACTTAAGGAAAACCGGAAAGAGTTGCCTATTATCCTAGCACTTGAGAGGCTGAGGCAGGAGGATTGCTGTCAATTGAAGGCCAGCTTGGATTACCTAGTAAACGTCAAACTAGCATGAGCTAGAGTTCCCAGATCCCGCCCCTCACACAAATGCCCTGCCCGAGGCGAGGTCACTAAGCAGGTTAAAGCACGCTAAAGACAGGAGTTTGGTGAAAAAAGAGAACCATCTTCTCAGACGCTGTCCCTCACCTGTCCCCGCACACGTAGCACACACAGCAGTAACAGCGGAGGGCTGAGCTGAGCGTGGTGGTGCATGCTGGGTAATCCAGCGGGAGAAGACTAAAGCAGGGTGATTGCAGTTCAAGACCAGCTCAGCCCACGTACCGAGCTCCAGGCTAGCCTGGGCTACAGAGGGAATGTCTCAAAAGTAAATAAAAACAGAAACTACAGCCCCCTATGACTGAGATACCACACACAAAGCTCTCGTTGAGGGAAAGAAAAATAAAACTTTTGAAAGCCTATTACAGATACAGATGTTTTCATTTAGAAACTACTATGAAATTGAGTGTTCTTTCATTTAAACGTTCCCCTGTGGTTCCGCAAATTAAAGATTGGTAGTGTGGTATTAACAACCAAGAGCTGGACCGAATTGAACTGGCTAAACACAGTTGGTTAAGCTGCCGCCGATAGTTTCTGTAGCTGAAGCTGACCGAAAAACTGAGGTCGCTTAAACATTTTGTATGTAAATCTAATTTTTTAAAACTTATCCACTTGGATATGCATTCTAGAAAGAACTTTTTATGTCAGACATAGTTTTAGAAAGGAAACAATGTAGAGAGCCCGATACTTTATAAACTCCAAACCACAACCACGCTGCTCTCATTAGTGAAACGGCTTTATTACATTCATTGTTAATTTTTTCCTTCCTGGGACAAGAACCAGAGGGAATAACGAAATTAGTGTGAGGCAAATGCAGCAATGTGCGCTCTCCACAGCGCATCCCTTAACCTGCAGGGCTGTTGCATTTATTTATTTACTTATTTGTTCAATTTGACATGTCATCTTTCATTTTGAATAATGAACATTCAGTGTGGCAGTGTGGGAGGGGTGGGCCTTCAATCTTGGCTCTCTGGAGTGTAAGAGGCCGAGGATGGGGAGGAGAGTCATGCAAAGCTGTCCTCTGGACAAGACATGTCTGTTACAGCCACGAGCTCACAGCGGCGTGTTACCTGCCCAAGTTCAGCACAGGTGGGGGAGAGGACGCTCAGGACCCAGCCCCACTGAGTTGCTCTTGGGGGTGGATGGTTTCTGAGGACGGATAATCATTCTCTTTTGAGGATGATTGGCCATGGTAAGATTCTCATGCTCCCATGGATGTCCATCACCCACTAGAAAATTTAAAAGAAAAAAATTATAAAAACATAAAATTGGTTGGGGAAAAATGGAAAGAGTTGATCTATATGATCGGGTTCCATTGTATTCCTGAATGAAACTTTTGGGAACAAAGAGAAACTCTTTGATGGTCTTCCTTAATATATGAATTGCCCCCAAACGTAGCCCTCTGAATAGATTCTGTGCCCTCTACTTTACAGTATTTCCCTATAAATATGTGCATTTATTTTATGTATGAGCAAAACAGAAACAACTGGTGCTTTAGAACTTTACAGGTACATACAATAATCCCAGCACTCAGAAGCCTGATGCAGGAGGATTAGGACATAGAAGCCAGGCAGGATTACCCAGAAAGACTGAACCCAGGCTGAGGGCGGGGCTACAGCTACAGCTGAGGTAGAACATTTGTCCAACATGCCTGGGGCCAGGTTCAGTCCCCAGAACTGCCTAGGAACGGAGCTGCCAATCAAGGGCATAATTGCGCATGCACATAGATACATACATGCACATAGATACACACATGCAGATGTGGGAGGAGGGGTCTCAGACAGCCTGGAGGAACTGGCTCTCTCCTTCGCCTGTGTGGGATACTGGGTATCAAATGCAGGTTGTTAGGCTTGGCGGTCAGCATCCTTACCCTCGGAGACAGTAAGTTTGAGTCCCACTAGTGTGTACATGTTCGAGTCCATGATTGGAAAAGCATGCACAACCAAGAGGGTAGCTTAAAAATCATCACTAAAAGCCGCCTTGCTTTCATCTCTGCAGATTGTTTGAAGTGTGCTCCTAACTTCTCCATCTCAGAGTATCTGAGACCTATCGCCCGTCCTCCCAGGATTCTGACTGAATTAAAATCTTTGCAGAGCTGGAGGTTGGACCCGTGAATCCATGCATGCCAGGTAAGCGTTCCACCACTGAGCTACATGGACATTTACTTATTCAGTTACTTGGTTATTTAGTTATTTATTTAAACACAGAACTAGACTGAAACTAGCAACAAGGCAGGCCTCCTCCTCTGCTAGGATCACAGGCATATACTGTCATGGTTAGCTTACACATTTAATTTAATCAATAGATTAAATGGCTTTTAAAAAAACACATTACTTTAATGTACTTTATCCTAAACTGCCTACATAGTCAAAATGACTCTTCCCAGACAGCTTTGCTCTGCGATAGCATCAGCAGTCGGATTCCTGATTCCTGTTCTACTGTGCAGCTATGTCCTCAGAATTTAAACACTCCCTTCCAGAAAGCTGGGGAAGGGGGTGTTCTCATGAGACTCCAACACCAAACTCAGAAGACTCAGGAAGTTCATAAACTTGCAAGATTCACTAGATTCGACCTTGAGGTTATATAAACAGGAAGCACGGCTGGGAAGTAGAGACTCTTCCACGGATCTGCTGCAATTGGAGAGAGAGATCCAAGGGTGTAGCTTTTGTGCTGGGGCAGACTCTTGTTGGTGCAACTGCCTTGAACGCACACATGCCCCCATGAGTAGCACCAATAACACCCTGGCTCATTAAGAGAGACATGGGTGGCATCATTTCTCTGGTCTGTTTACAGTGCCCTATCTGGGTGGATAGACATTTCCTGGAGTCTTTCCAGGCAAAGTCACATGAAATCTGCTTATGAGATTTGCTCGAGAGCCATTTCCCTTATCCCATCCATCCCTTTGACCACACGATACAGCCAATATTTTTTTAGCTAATTTAACTTTTAACGCACATAATCTAGGCTGCTTCTGAATGCTGGGTACTTCGCTGGATACAGCTGGGGCCACTGATGCCCCTCTCACTTTCCTCTGGCAAGGGCTTCTGACCTATGAAGCATTACAAAGGTTTCAACCCACGAAATAATGAGATCGGAAACAGGTCAGGGGTCAAAGGCAGACTCCAGGGCAGCCTTGTTTAAAACGGGAGACTTTGCTTCCAGACGGGTCTCTAATAATATTCATAGTGAAAAGATCCAGGGGTATTGAGTTAGCTTTCAAAAACATGGGAAGTCTTCCAGTTAGCATTAGAGAAGGCCATTTTCCCCGCTCTGGGCCGATATGGATAAAACACAAGGGATAGGTCATTTCAAAGAGGGCTTGTGGGCTGGGGAATCAAAGTGTTTTCAGGCTGTGACCAAAGATTGACACATCCCACAAGAGCATAGTCAATAGAGCTGAGTTTTTCTGAGACAATGTAGAACTGGTAAATATCTACGTTTCAACATTTAAGAAATAAAATGCCCTAGAAAATCTGGATGATGGGGGAAGGGAAATGACTAAAGTGTTGGAGATTGGAGCAGAAGGTGGGAGAGGATGGATAAAAATGACTGAATGACTGTTGTATTTCTCTGAGTGTATCAGTTAATGACCACCCTTCTATTCTATAACGAGTAAAGTAAGCTAGCACTAAAGCAAATATGAACGTGAGGGGAGATGGGAGAAGGCCTGGATTTGAATATCACCTTGAATGGCCCACCAACTGCATTTTGGCTCTGAGAGAACCCTGATGCGGCTGTCAGCATCCAAACAAAAATGGTTTCTAGACCACAGGCATGCCCCACGCTAAGAGTGGACGGGCTAGCTATAACAGCCTTTCTAGTGCCAAGTGGCCCGGAGCCCACGCAGTTTCAGTGGAAGAAGGACCTTCAAGTAAGTGAACTGTCAGTGACGCTACCTGCTGGGCTCTCCCATGACTACCACACCTAAGCATGGGGAACAGAGAGATGCAGCTAACTTAACAGGTAACCCCAATGCTAAGTGACAGGCATGAGGCATGAATGGAGGTGAGACTCACAGCTGCTTTTGAGGATGAGTTTTATAGTGTCCTGTGGGGAAGCAATGGAAGGGCCAGCCCAGGGGCTGCTTAAGAAACAAGACCCAGATGCTTCTGCAGGTAAGGTTTGGAACTCAAGCCATGGGGGGAGTCAGGGGAGACACGGATGACACATGATACATGGAACCTCAGCGGCTTGTCAGTGGGCACTCTAGGTGCCAGAGATGCAGTGATGATGATCAAATTCCCCTCCTCACCGGAGGAAGTCAGCAACCCTACAGGAGAACATGGGAGCTAGGGAAGGAAGCAAGACCCCCAAGGCCAGTGAGCCATCAGTGTTTAAAGGAGAGTGTGTGGTCAATGTGGCAATCATGACTAACTTGAGATTGCACTGAAACAGAACTTTTTTTTTTTTTTCAAAAAAGACTTTCCACAAATGGTGAGGGTTTTTTTCTGCTAGGTCAGTCAGCTCCACGTTTTCTGGACCCTACATCCAGACAACCCTACACGTGCAGAGGGAAAGCTTTGGCTCTTCCTCTTCGGAATGAAACATCTAGACAGATGGAGGACCGAGCTCTACAAACACCTCAACAGGACGCATTAGGCTGAGCTATAAAATTATTCCTTGTGGGGGCAGAAACAAGGCTCACTAGGGAGAGGGGCTTCATGCATTCCCCACGGCCTGAGTTGGATCCCTGGATCCTACAAGGCATGGGCGAGAACCCAGACATTTCCTATAATCTCTACAACGTGCACATGAATGGGCGCATGCATAGAATTCATTCTTTAAAATCTACCCCTAGGCACACTACTTCAACAACCCACAGCACTCTAAGAACACACAGACCCAGCTAGAGCCGAGTCTATGTTAAGCTATTCGTTTACCTCGTTCACTAACTGTTACAAAGATTGCCTGGGATGATGGCTACAAATGACTTGATAACTTTTAAGGATAACTACATCAAACTCTGCCAACTTACAAAACTTCAGTGACTGTCAAAGGTGGTATTGGCCTACTGAAATAATGACGTTATAACTTTTGATTATTGGGCAATTTGCTTATTTGCTCATTTATTCATTAATATATTTTTGAGACAGAGTAGACCCGAACATCTCTAACCTTGCTCCGTAGCCTAAGATGACCTTGAACCTCTGATCCTCCCACCTCTGTCTGGGATCCTAGGTCTGTGCTAGCATATTCAGTGCTGGGTGTAGAGCCCAGAGCTTTGTGCACCTCAGCATGTGAGCATCCAGCCCAGTGAGCTCCACCCTGCCAGAGCCACCACCTTCAAGGAGAGTGGAAAAGATTTGGCTGGACAAGCGCTTGCTGTCACTTGGCATGGGGCACAAACAGCAAAGCAGCATTAAACCACAGAGAAGGTTCCGGGCCCGTGAAATGTAGCACACATTTAAGAGAAGGGACACATCACCATCAAAAGTGAAAATGGCCCAGAGAATCAAAAGCAAGAGAAACATTAGAAATTAAGGCGCCAAGACAAGATCGACTAGCCGCTCCTCCATGAACAGATACATAAAACCAGCCGATGGGGAGTCCGCACAGAGGCTTCTTAAGATTCAGAGCCCTTTAAAGTTGAATTTCCTTCAGTGGGCCAGGATCTGCATCAGAGTTCATCATCATTCGGTGCCACGGTTTGCAGAGGAGAAAGCTCCCCTAAGGCACTGTCAGAACTGCTAGCCTTGGCCTTACTGCAAATGGAATCTTCGAAATGAGCCTATGGTTATGCGGCTCCCAGTCATGCAGGAGCTTTGGAAAACCGTTTGCCCCGTCTTTCTTCTAAGCAGAGCCCTAGACACTGAGAGGGATTAATGCCTATGAAAATAACATTTAAGTAAACAAGGTGGTCTTTTAAGATACAGTGTTCCTGTCTTAAGTCACAGATGAAAGCTTTTTTTCCCCCTTCTTTTTAATTTTGTTACATTGCAAAAAAGAAAACTTTCTTTCTCCAGGGTCCACTTTCATGTCGGACTGATCCATGCAATTGTCTATGCTTCTGGCAAGTGGGAGGAAAGAGGAGACTTCAGAGGAACAAATTCAGTGACCCGTGGCCCTGCACACAGGAACAGTGGTACCTTGCCTGGCCAAGTCCCAGGGAAGCTAGCCCACAGCTCCCAGACCTTAGCCACCAGCTCAGGGCAAAGAGCAGAGGATTTGAGCGTTAGCAATCTGCAAGTAAGAAGTGAATTTTTAGAAAACATCTTCAACTTTATTGTATCTCTCTTGAGAGCAACATGGTCAATAAAAGTAATAATAAGAAATGAACTACTGAGACCTCAAGAACAATGGCAATGGGTTTTTTATTCTACTGGACCTATTGGTTTCGTGGGAGCCTAGGCAGTTTCGTGGATGCTCACCTTACTAGACCTGGATGTAGGTGGGTGGTCCTTGGACTTCCCACAGGGCAGAGAACCCTGATTGCTTTTTGGGCTGACGAGGGAGGGGGACTTGATTGGGGGAGGGGGGTGGAAAGGGGAGGCGGCGGTGGGAAAGAGACAGAAATCTTTAATAAATAAATAAATTAATTAAAAAAAAAAGAAATGAACACTTGGGGTTAAAGAGATGGGTTCCCAGCGTCCACATCAGGTGACTCACAAATGGTTGTTAACTCTCCCTCCAAAGGATCTGACACCCCCTTCTGGCCTCCAGGGGTACCCAGCTGACCACCATCACACACACATACACACACATAAAATAAAACTTTAAGAAACTAAGACTTAGAACCCTTGTAAGCACGTATTTCCTCTGCTAAGTCTTGATTATCTCTTTTAATCTTCATGATTATCTCTGTATTAGCAACAAGAAATCTGGAGTACAAGTCTGGGCAATAAACTGTTTCAAGATTACCTACCTAATGTCCTCCATATAGAAATGCTAGAAATGCCAAAATTATGTAAAGTCCCAGGTGGTCTGCATTGACAACCAAAATAGCCAAGGACTAAAGAGATGGCTCAGTGGCCAAGAGTGCTTGCTGCTCTTGCAGAGTTCCTGGGTTCATTTCCAGTAACTCACGTGAGCAGATCATAGACACCTGTTATCTTCAGCTCCTGGGAACGCAGCGCCCTCTTCTGTCCTCCACAGGCACGGCACGCACAGGTGCATACAATCACACAGACAATCACGTAATGAAAAGTAAAATAAATCCATCATGGCCTTGACCTCTTTGCTCATATTCTCATTCCTCCCACTCTTCAACTGGACTTTGGGAACTCAGTCCAGTGCTCCAATGTGGGTCTCTGCCTCTGTTTCCATCAGTTACTGGATGAAGGTTCTATGGTGATATTTAAGACATTCATCAGTCTGACTACAAGGCAAGTCAAGATTGGGCCCCCTCCCCTCTATTGCTTTGGATCTTAGCTGGAGTCAGCCTCGTGGATTCCTGCAAATTTCTCTAGAGCCAGGTTTCTGTTAACCCTATAATGGCTCCCTCAATCAAGATATTTCTTTCCTTTCTCTCTCTCTGTCCTTCCTCCATCTCAACTATCCCATTCCCTCAAGTTCTCCTCAACCCTCCTCTTCCTCTCTCAACCTTCCTTCTCCCCCCATCCCCATGCTTCCAATTTTGTCAGGCGATCTTGTATGTTTCTAATTTTCCAGATGGATCTACATATGTTTTTCTTTGGGTTCACCTTATTACTTAGCTTTTCTAGGATCATGAAATATAGGCTCAATGTCCTTTGTTTATAGCTAGTATCCACTTATGAGTGAGACCATGATGGGGCACCCACTAAAACAGTCTACCTGAGCTAAAGGGAGCTCACCAACTCCAGCCGGACTGGGAAGGAATAAGCATAGGATCAAATTAGTCCCTCTGAATGTGGTATACAGTTGCGTGGCTGGGGCAGACTGAGGGGCCACTGGCAATGGCACAAGGATTTATCCCTACTTCCATGTACTGGCTTTTTGGGATCCTATTCTCTTTGAATGCATACCTTGCTCAGCCTAGATATAGTAGGGAAGGCCTTGGACATTCCACAAAACAATGTGCCCTACCCTCTCTGAGGATTGGAGGGGCGGAGGTGGAAGAGTATGTGGAGGGAACGGGAGAAGGGGAGGGAGTAGAAACTTGGACTGGTATTGTTTTAAAAAAAATCTAATAAATTTTAAAAAGTAAAATAAATCTTTACAGAAATCAAACATCATGTCAGCAAAAGTTTATATAATTGTAACATTGTTTTAAATTTGCAAGAAAGGAAGAAATCCACAATATTAAATATAATAAAAATAATAAAAGCTGAAATGGATTTCAGCTTCTGTTGATGCTGAAAAAGCTAAGAAGTAATCACTCCAGTCTGCAAAGTCAGAAAAAGTTTCAACAAAAGCAAAATTAAAAGAGAAACTTAGCTAAAAACAAGTGCTGTGGGTTTTCCCAGAGTAACGAGTGAAGTCTGGTCTCTAGGTAAGCCGTCATTCTTACGTCTGCATAGATGGGCACTCAGAGGCACAGCTGGTGACCACTTCCCTGAATTGGAGGAGGCCAGACCTGGACATTTACAGAGAGGACTCACTGGTGACTAGTAAATTACTGCAGGTAGCGTGAGAACTGTCAGGGAAGGGATGAATTTCTCTCACCTTGGCAGACTTTCCACGAAGAGCCCCACCAGGCACTCACAGTGCACTGCCATCTCTCTGGCTCCAACAGGTGTGATCTATAACCATTCAGGGCCAAACAGTGCATTCAGGGCTTCCTCCATAATAGGAAAAGACTTCACCAGAGCCTCATGCCTTCTGGGAGAAGGGCACCTTCCACTGCAGCGTTCTTGCCTTCCTCCTGTTCCCTTAGTTGGTAAACCATAGTTAGCAGTCCTGGGCAAACCGATCTAGAGGCTCACAGACAGAGAAGGGAGCGGGGCTTGTGGGGGTGGGGAGAAGTTGCAACAGAGAAGACAAATTTGTGAAATTTCAATCCTCAAATCTAGGGTGCATTGTATCTGGTGTATGGAACTATCTCCATGTCCACACATTCTACCACCAATATAATAGGACGTCACTACAGAAACCTCAGATCATAACTAAAGAACTAAAAACACAGACTCTTGGAAGAACACCCAGGGAGGTCCAATTCTGGGAAGGAAATAAAATCAAGAACCATAAGTAATTTGAAGATTCTGGCAGCGTTGCTATGAGCAAACATAAACCAAAATACAGATTCACCAGGTCTGACTTCAGTCCACGTGAGCAGTACCTTCCATGACTGCCCCTGAGGAAGGTTAGTTCGTTTTCCGTATCTGCTTTCCCAAATAGACTTAAAAGCTCCTTAGAAGTCGGAGGACTCCATGAGCATCCTCCATCGGCAGAAACGTGCCCAAGTCTCATGACCTAGAGATAACCAGGCACAGTATGGTGGAGATGAGGTGACTTTTGTTCTGGCATGCTTGCCTGTCTGCCTGTCTTCATGTGGATATGTGCTGCTGGCCCAGATCACGGGATCTTGCTGACACCCAAGACCACACTTCTGCCCATAAATCCTCTAGACAATTCCATCCTCTAGTAGTCCAGCTCACTACTTCTCTTTGGCCTTACTTCACTGAATGCCTGATTTCCTTACACCAAGACCAGGTCATTTACAACACTTTTCTATTAAAAAAAAATTCAACTATTGACATCAAGAGTCAACAGTAAAAGGATGTAAAAAGATAAACCAAGCTAAACGAGAAACTGGGATGACTACATCGATTTCAAACAAGTTCAGTCCCAGAAGAACCAGGGTTACTGGGAATCAAGAGGGACCACAAAATGAGAAAAGGACCCATTCTTTAGGAGGACATAGACATAAGGACACAAACCTCTAACCTGAGTAGCAAACTATATGACACAAAAACTGATAGAAGAGAAAAACAGACAAATTCAAACATAAGTCAGAAACTATTTGTTGTTTCATCTAAATTATATAATTTATGGATTATAATTTTTTATATTTTTCCCTTATCGTCAAAATCACATTCAGACAAATTCAAGACCATGGCTTGGGGCTTCACCACCCTGTGCCAATGCCAAGAGTTTCATAGGCAGAAACTAAGCAAGGATATAAATGATCCCAATGGCAGTACTGGTCAACTTGATCTAATTAAATTTATAGAATAGTCCTTCCAAGGACGTCGGATACAATCATCTTAAGTTCCTACGTAACAGACACCAAGACAGGGCCCATTTCAAATCCAAAACACTCAACAAATGGAAAAGTCTAACAAATATGCAAAGTATTTCTCAGACAAAAATGAAAAAGTCCACATGAATATTACTGCTCAAATAACATTTATAGATACAAATAAAGACAAAACACACACTTTTAAGACATGCATAATCCAAGAAGACATTTAAAGGCTGTTAAAAACAGCTTCAACTGACTGAAAAGGATATAGCAACTTATTATAACCTAGTACCATGCCCTGACCAACTGAGCTACCCAGGCAGTTAGTTTGCTAAAATCTATACCTCATGAAAAAAGAAACGCTTAGAGGGAAATTTACTAATTGAAAAACCAATAATTTAGCTTAGCTTAGAAAACTAGAAAGAGTGGAGAAAATTAAGCCTAAATCAATAAGTAAATAAGAGAAATAATATTATATGAGAAATTAGTGAAATTCAAAATAGTCAAAGAGAAAATAAACAAAAACAAAAGCTGGCTGTTTATTATTGATCTGTTCTCTGGCCTAGCTTTCCAAGAATAATAAGAAAAGACATTAATTATTAATTTCAGAAATGAACAAGAGAAAACACTACCAATCTCATAAAACAAAAAAGATAGAGAAGTAACATGAACCATTATGATCCATAAATTAGATAATTTGATTATACAAATCAGATCTACAAAAAACTTCCATGCCAAAATGCATCCAAGGAGCTAGAACAAACTTCAATAGACATGCCCACTAAGGAGACTGGATGGCTAGTCAGGAACCTTCCAAAGGGAAGCACCAAGCACAGATGATTTCATCAATGAATCCTACCAAGTATTCAAGAAAGGAATGCTGCCATCTTCTCCACAATCTTCGCAAGAAAATAGAAGTATGGGACAACTCAGTGGTTCAGAGTGACCACTGCTCTTACAGAGGACCCGAGTTCAGTCCCCAGCACCCTTGTTAAGAAGTTCACAACCTCCTGTGATGTGGGAGTGATTTCTTATTAATAAAGAAACTGCCTTGGCCCATTTTATTGGATAGAAAAT